CATTTATAAAAGGGGATGAAGCACTGACGTATGCTACAATGTGGATGAAACTTGAAAATATTGTTTTCAAGTGAAAAGAATCCAGACACAAAATGTCATGTATTATATAATTCCATTCATTTGAAATATCCAGGATAGGCAAATCCAGAAGGTTGTTTAGTTCACAAGGGCTTGGGGGAGGGGAGAACTACTCAATAGGGACAAGGTTTCCTTTTGGGGCGATGGGAATGTTTTGGAACTAGTTAGCCGTGGTGGATGCACACACTAAGAATGTTCTAAATGCCCTGCATTGTTCACTTTAAAATGGTGTGTGAATTTTACCTCAATTTAAAAACAAGCAATTGAGAGAAGCAGGAAGGAAGGAAGGAAGGAAGGAAGGAAGGAAGGAAGGAAGGAAGGAAGGAAGGAAGGGAGGGAGGAAGGAAAGAAGGAAGGAAGGAAAGAAGGAAGGAAGTGGGGGGAGGGAGGGAGAGGAGGAATTTATTGGCTCTTGTCACTGTGAAGTGAAGAAGGGTGCTCAGCTGAATGATGGGCTGAAATGGTGCATGAGGGCGCTCCATCCTTGTGCCCTGTCTCTGATGGCCCCGTTCTGCCTCAGCCTCCACTGGACAGACAGGGTGACCAGCCTCCAGCCCCAGGCCTGAGGGCTCCCAGCTCAGAAGTCCAGCAGAAAGACGCTGTTTCCTGTTCCCTCCCTGTGCCCACCGTCGTACTCCAAACACCCCAATGTGCAGTCAGGGAGAAGTTGGGGGGCTGTAGTTTCTTTGAGGGTTTAATTTCTTTAAAGAGGGATTAATTTTGAACTTTCATTTTCCTGCAGTAAAGGGAGGAGTATGCATGCATCAAGGTCTGGTCAGAAGAAACACAGCCGTGGTCATTGGAACTGGGGAGATTTAACGTAGGGAACTGACCACTAAACTGGTAGAGGGGGTGAGAGAGGACTGATGGGGGTCCAGAGTGGCACGTGCATGGGCGTGGCTACTTCTCAGTTGAGGGAGAGTGGACATAGGACTAGCAGAGAGGCCAGCACACCCAAGGCCATTCTGACCTCTCCAGAGATGCCAGGCTGCGGGCACAGGCTGAGACAAAGGCGCTTGCGGGAGGGGCAGCTGGCCTAGGCCCGCGCTAAAGAAAACAGCAGCGCAGGGCACAGCCCGAAGGGAGGCTTCTTCCTGATGCCCTGGCCTCGCGGGCCCTCTGTTGCCCTCTGTGCATGAAGCCTGCCCTTCCTCCAGCCAGCAAAGGAGAAATGCCCGCAGGGCCCAGCCCGTGTCCCAGTCAGAGAAAGAAGGACGAGAGATGATCAATTAATAACTGAGACAGGTGATTGGTTTGTGGGGCCTTTGGTCTCCCTGGTCAAACAACGAGACGGGTTCCTCCTGCTTGGGCTCTTTGGGGACCTTGGATCTGGGCTGCAAACAGTCATGGTGTCTCTCTCTCTGGAAAGGCAGGTCGGGCATGGAGCCGGGCAGGGGGTTTGAGGGCCGGATGTAAAGGGTGTTCTTAGCTTTCATTCATTCCCACTCTGACCTACTTTGGAGGGACGGGAGCTGAACTTCTCCCTTCACTGCGAAGGAGATAGGGATTGCAGAGTACCGGAGGCGGCAGCGATGCCCCGTCCACCAGCCTTCTAGGGAGAGGGATGCTGAGGAGCGCACACCGGCTTCACGCCGACCGACCGGACCGCGTCTGCTGCGGGTGGGCTCCCTGTTTGTGTGGCCCCCGGCGCACCGTTCGGCCTCCTGTGGGTCAGGGTCGCGGCCAAGCCTAGGACCGTGCTCTGCTCTCCTCTATCAAGCCTTCTGGCTGAGCTCTGCGTTGGTCTCCTGCACGAGGCACCGGATAGAAGGGGATAAGTCCCTTGTTTTCAGTTTGTGGCTACAGGGAAACGTCTCCTGCAGAACCCAGCCCAGCTCTGTCCCAGTGGTGCCTGCTTCCCCCTCACTCCTGCTCCATGTCACCACAGCTCTTGTGAAGCTCGCGGCCAGGATGGAGCGTCCCTGAGTTCCCTTCACCCGACAATGGCCACCCTGATGCTTACGCAGCTGCTGTCCACAGACCCGGTTCCAGTCTAACCTTCAAGAGGCCAGGCTCCAGAGCGCGTGCCCTGTGCTTGGAGGACGAGTGCGTTTGCATTGCAGTTGCATCAGCATTTCCGGGACACAGGATGCAGCATGGTATTAGCACACGCCCGGCCCTGGACTTGCACAGAGGAGGTCCTGTGGAGAGCAAACATGGACGGGGAAAGAACGAGCATCGGGGCGCCGGGGGTGCTGCCCAGCGTGTGCCCAGGCTGCTGGAGCTCTGAACAAAAGAGGAACCACTAAGCCTCCATCCATCATCCAGGCAGAAGGCAAACCGATCTTTTCCCCAAACAGCACTTCTCTCCAACAAACAGCGGCCATAAAAGCAGAGGCTCCAAAACTTTAAGAGGCCATAAACCTTTTGGCAATGGCACAGGCTCTGAGAATGCACACATGAATAAATAAAAACCCAAAGCTGCCGCTGAGACATCGCTGCGTCTGGAAGCACACGGATCAACAGACTCTTAGAGGAAAGAAACACAGGCCGCTCCGCCTGACAGCATTTCACATGAGCCGGGGAGCTGCCCTCCAGGCACTGGGTCCCCCCAAGCCGCGAGCCAGCTGAACAGGGAGGACGCATTGCGATACAAAATCGATGCCAATTTTTGGTGGCCGAATAGAGACCTCATTGAATGACCCGTAGGCTTGCAGACACTCTGCTCTGGGGAGGGAGAGAACAGCCGTCTGTGCCTAAGGAGGCAGACACACATCACCCTGAATTACCAGGTTCAAGTTCACATTCAGCCTCCCAACCAAGCGCTTCGGGGCAGAGAGGCCCGCGTGTCAGGCCCTGCATTCCGTGGTGTGCGTGGGAAGGCTTTCCACGTGGAAAGGCGGACATTAAATGCTGGTTTCTCCTCTGAGAGCCGTTACGAAGACCCTGCAGCCTGCTCGCACCAGGTTTCATCCTCGATTTAAAAACGGTCTTTCCCTGCGGCCCTCTGAGCGGTGACTGGGAAGAATGACAACGAGGCCCTTGGGATCAGGTAGAATTCATCCGACTCGCTCCTCCTGCTGGTTTTCGCCGGGGCACTCAGCACCCAGGCGGCATCCATGCTGCCCCTTCCCCTGGACCGCTTGCCACGGCTGTGAGCTCCGTCCAGCTTCGGGGCTAATTTGTAGTGGAATTAGAGTTGAGGGTGTTTTCCTGGGAGTGGGGGGTGGGGTGTCTTTCTTTTCCTCGTCTTCTTCTCACCTGCAAGCACAGCTTTCCAATCAAGTGCCCAAACACACGTATCAGGGCTGAAAAATGCACATAAGCCAGGACTTGGAAGAGGCTAGACAGAGACTCCATTAAGCCCCTGGAAGGAGGCAGAGTGTGGCAAGTGGGAATAAGGCAGCATGAGAAATGAACCTATTAGATAGTTGCTCTTGGTCCCCAGAGCACTTTTTATGTGCCGGTGCCATGCTGGGTGATGGAGACATAGCAATTCCGGGGCAGAGGAAAAAAAGACAGGAGGCGTTGGAAGGCAGTTGTGCCCTTGGGATGATGGACTGGCCTCCTCAGAGGGGTGCGTATGAGGACAGGCCTAATCCTTCACCTTCTGGGTGAGGAAACGGATGCACAGAGACAATAAATTCAATGTAGCCTTTCCAAAAATAAGAATGAAGCCTGTGACTGCAGAAGCAGGACTACTATGTCTGGGTTCAAATGAGCCATGTGAACTTTCTTAGGCCAATCAGGCTGCTATAACAAAAATACCATAGGCTGGGTGGCTTAAACAGCATTCGTTTCTCACGGTTGTGGAGGCCAGCAGGTTCCATGTCTGCTGAGGGCCGACATCCTGTTTGCAGATGGACACCATCGCTGTTCCTCACAGGGTGGCCGCGGGCAGGGGGCTCTCTGGGGCCTCTTTAATAAGGGCACTAATCCCATTCATGAGGTCTCCACCCTCATGACCTGTTCACCTCCCAAAGGCCTCACTCCCAAACATCATCACACTGGGGATCAGGATTTCAACATGTGAATTTTAGGGGGACAAAAACATTCAATCCAAATCATGAACCAAATAAGCAGCATGGCCTAAGGATCAGCTGATGAAGAGAGGAGAGGCTATTGTTTTTTGCGGGGAGTCAGAGAAGTTCGGGGGTCCTGTGATATCTTTTTTTACATCTGCTGATAGAAACAAGCCATCTAATTTTTTCCTACTCATGAAAAACTCCCACTTTTCCCAAATAAACACCTTCTCCCTTATTCCAAAATAAGTCCACTTACTTGTTTTAACGCCTCCAGGCACCAAATGCTTTCTATGTAACCCTCACAACACTCCTGCGAGGCTGGCATCCCATTTTGTGGGTGAGGATATGGAGGCTAAATCACCTGCTGAAAGTCTCACAGCCAGCCATGATCTAGCCATGATCTAGCCATGATCTAGCTATGGTCTAGCCATGGTCTAGCCATGGTCTAGTCAACTCCAAACCAGACGTGTGCCCCTTTCAGTATCCGCAAAACTCAGATTCATTTGCCGCAATGAGCAGGCTCTCTTGTCTCCTTCCACAACCGCAGGAACACAGGGAGCCGATACATACACTCAACTCACTGGCTTTCTCTGGCAAGGCTGCCCTCAGAGACCGGCCGGAACAAGCGATTCCCTGCTGCACACAGGAGGGGCCACGGTGGGGCAGCAGCAGCCCCCTCTGACGGCCGCACCCAAAGGTGGCTCAGACTGTGAGACTCCAAGGGACCCGGAGACCGAGTGGAGGGATGGCAGCCACCGTGTCCGGGATGTCACAGGCTCCTTGTAAATGCCCAGCCTCGTGTTCCCATAGGATGGGGATGGCATACCTGAGTTGATCCCTGTGCACCTCCCCCAGGGTACGTCTGCTCAATGCAGTGGGTCTCATCAGTCACTGGTGTTGAGCTGACCTCCATCACAAGCGGACAGCAATGTATGTTTATACCCCTCTACCACAATCCCCTGCTGTTTCTGCCCTAAAACCTGGTGGCAGAGCCGACTTAGAGGAATCCATTCATTCACTCATCAAACACTGAGGGGTCCCCTTTAGACAACCTGCTGTTGATGTGGTAGAAATGTTACGGGCTTCCAAGAAAGACTTGTTTTCAAACCTTGGCTCTGCCACAAGATGTGTGACCTTGAGAAAATTACATACCTTTTCTGTGTCCTCTTCAGTATATCTTCTGCATGAGGCTCTGACGGAATGAAATGGCATAGCACCTAGAATGACAGGTGGTATGATGTGTTCAGCAATGGGAATGCTCCCACACTCCCCCTGGGCAGGGACCCCCCCCCCCCCCCCGCCGCCACCACCACATCCACATTAGACATGGACCTCCGGCGCTTCAATTCTTGGCCAAGAGTTTAAGAGTTGTGACATGTGTGTAAAACAAGAAGACGAAAGTACACCAAACAAACTAATCATGTGCACCCCTCCCTCCATGAAAAGAGGGAAAAGAAGGGCGTTTCCAGGGAATGAGACATTTGCAGGGCGAGAATGGGAGGGCGTTCTGTAGGGAAGTTTCCAGACAGAGCAGTTTGTGGACCTGAGGGGAGAGCCTCCCTGTGGCTTTGGAACCTGAAGTGAGCAGAAGCGGAAGGACTGTGAGAAAGTCTCTGTGAAAACTGAAGAGCCTTGAAAAAAACTACCTTTCCTTTGAGATATAGATGATATATAACATATTAGTTTCAGGTGTACAACATAATAATTCAATACTTGTATATATTGCAAAATGATCACTGCAATAGGTTTAGTTAAGATCTGTCACCATGTATGTTACAATTATTTTTTTATAATGGGAACTTTTAAGACCTACTTTCTTAGCAGCTTTCCCACATATAGTATAGTACTGCTAACAATAGTCACCATACTGTACACTATATCCCAAGACTTATTTATTTCATAACTGGAAGTTGTACATTTTGACCTGTTTATAGAAACACTAGAGGCCCGGTGCATGAAATTCATGCACTCAGGGTGCGGGGGGTCCCTCAGCTTGGCCTGTACCCTCTCGCAGTCTGGGAGCCCTCGGGGGATGTCCGACTTATGGCTTAGGCCCGCTCTGGGGACATTCTTAATGCTCCTGCCACTGCAGCCTAGCTCACCAGCTGTGAGCTCAGCTTCTGGCTGAGTGGCGCTCTCCCAGTGGGAGCACACTGACCACCAGGGAGCAGCTCCTGCATTGAGAGTCTGCCCCCTGGTGGTCAGTGTGCATTCATAGCAACCACTTGTTCTGCTGTTTGGTTGATTTACAAATTAGCCTTTTATTATATAGGATGATTGTCATTGAGGAAACCTCAGGTAAAGGCTTAAAAGAAAAAGAAAAATCTCATTGGACACTATTGTGTAGTAGTGGCAGAAAGCTGACCAACACAGTTGCCTGAAAGTAAAAAGAGTACCTTACGCACAAGGTGATTTGGCTAAGGAGAGGGTCCAAGCAGAGCACTGAAGGTGCCATCTGATTTCTTCTTGCTGCTGCTGGTAAAGGTGAGAAAAGAGAGATAGTTTAGGAAGGACTGTTAAACACAAGAGAGCCAGAACTCTCTGGAAACTCTTAACCTCCCCAGATGGAAAATGATATTAAAATCAAGAAAGGGCTTCCAGGCAAGAATCAAGTACATGGCACTGTCAGAAAAACCTGGTTTAAATAAGAAGCCAAGGGTGCCACTGGGTCTCAGCCTGCTTGAACCATCATAACAAGTAACAAATGCCACAGGCTGTGTCGCTTAAACCACGCTCTCCTCTGCAGGGCTTATATGGAAGCCACTTGCCACTGAAGCTTTTTCCTAATGGAGGGAGCCCAAGGTTTTTAAGAAAGTTACACCAGAAGAAACATTGCCAGCTTGCGGTGAAAGCGACAGACAACACAAATAGAAAAGATGATTTTGGAGTCAGAAACTTCTGTAGGCAGGAAGCAGGCTGAGAAAATGACACAAACACAGGAAAAGGAATGGTAGCTCAAAGGCTGGAAACAAAAGTCCATGGAAAAGCCGAGAACCATGACAAATTATTCTGAAGAACTGTCAGTTTGTACTCAGCTGGATTTCAGAATTGCTATGAACCAGTGACCAGTGCATCCCTAATTTCCACCCTTGTGGAACAGGAGGGTCTACAGTAATTATCCTATGCTTGTCCTACAATTGTATGTTCTTGGGGGGTAGGGGAAGATAACTAGTCTCTCTAGTTCACAAATTTCTGATAAAAAAGAGCTGGATTTGAAGACTCAAAGAGCCACACCCAGGGAGCTTCAGCAATAATATATGGCCCAGGTTTGGATAATGAGATTCTGGACCTCAAACTGATATTATATTGGGGTGAGACTTTTGGGGGCTTTGGGAGAGGCTGATCACATGTCATGTGTGGGAAGGACGTGAGTCCCTGGGGAACAGAGGGGGGGCTGTGGTAGCTAGTTTCCAAGATGTCCCCTAGTGACCCCCACCTTCTGCTATTCTCTCCTTTGTGTCCTCCTTCCCACACAAACTAGAATTGACCCACGGAACCAATAGGATGCTGAAGAACAGAAGGATGTGACTTCCAAGGTCAGACATTGTGGCTTCCTCGCATTCTCCTTTGGGTGACTTGGTCTGGGAGGAGCTAGTTGCCATGTCATGAGGATATTGAAGCAGGCCTGTGGAGAGGCCACGTGTGAGGAGTGGGGCCTGCCGCTCACAGTCCTGTGAGGGACCATCTTGAAGCAGACTCACCAGCCTCCTTCATGGGCTGCAGCCCTGGCTGACCTGTTGTTTGTAACGTCATGAGAGCACCTAAGCTAGGTCATCCTACTGAAATGCTCTTAAATTCCTGACCAACAGAAACTGTAAGGTAACGAATGTTTATTATGGGTTTAAGCCACTAAATTTGGGGGTAATTTGTTACCTGGCAATAGAGAGCAGTGACAGGATTAGAATGAGCACATGTCAAAGATTTCACTCAATTCATTAATTAATGATGGAAATAGAAATATAGTTCTATTTGAGGAACTTGACATTTATTGGCAATTTAATGAAGAACATTTAGAATTTGAGTGTTAGGTTAATATAAAATAATAAAAACTGGTTAATGTCCTACAAGGTAATAAACCGCAACCTTTGGGTTATCTATTCTACCAGATAGAAAGTATGTTCATCTCCATCAGTCAAAAATCTAAGTTCTCACAGAACTTCTAGGACCTCTAAGCAACAGTGCCGGGAGTGGAATAATTCTGTGTTGTGAGGGGCTGCTCTGTGCTTTGGGGCAGGTTTGGCAGCATCCCAGGCCTTTGTCCACTAGTTGTCAGCAGCACCCCTTCCTCCCCACCAGTCACGACCATCCAGACATTGCAAGTGTCCCCGAGGGCCCCAGGATTGTGAACCACTGTCATAGGTAATTAAATAATCCCTGGGCAGACCTATCAAAGGATGCCCCTTTGACACTAAAAGGACATGCCAATCACCCTTTCCTCTCATTTTTATCTTAACAAGCATATGAACCAGAAACTGAGAAAGGGAATTCCCTCCCACGTGGCTGACTTGCTTCCAAAAGAGGGGGCCCTGACAACTGCTGCCACATGGGCTACACCCAGGCATGACCTCCCTCACCTCCGCTCAGAGACGATAGAGGTGAATGATGAAGAGGAGGCAAACGTGGCTGGAGTAGCGCATGGGGTCAGAGCGGTCCCAGGGCAAGCAGCAGAACAGCCTATAAGGACCTGTCACAAAGCGGCTGGCAGGATGATGGGTTGTTAGATGGTAGAAGGTAGGCGAGAAGGACAGGTGGGCAGGATGCCCAAATAGCATCCCAGGCCCTAACTAAGATTGTGAGGGTTTTGTTTGTTTTGTTGCCTTTTTAAAATCATTTTAAATGTGCAAGAAGTATTTATCTAATAAAAAGAAGAAATCAAATTCACCTTTGGGGCAGATTCTTTGTTTTGAGAAGAACCACTAAGTAAAAAAATTACTAAATATGAAACCAATACTCACATGGTTCTTGTGGAGTCCAGTGGCCCCAGTGCAGACGTATGGGGCTGAGGAGCTCCATAGTCTGTGCTGAGTAAATGGCAGAATCAGAACTGTTTCTGAAAAACAAATTAGTTGGTGGCTAAGGGCTCAGGAATGGGCTGGCAGTGGCTGTCCCCGCAGCCAGGGGTGGCGTCTGCAGCAGGCCAGGCTGGGCGGGAAAACGCCACCCCAAAGGAGGAGGGGGATCCAGAGCAGGGCTCCGGTGGGGCCTTCACGGTGCTGTGGCTTCCAGCTTGTTGCTTCAGGCTGAGGTTTGGTGAGTGCTCATGCTGGACAGTCATGGTCTAATGGACCAGCCTCGCCAGGGACCAGATGGCCAGGGAGCACTCCTGAGGTTAAGGAGGTAACTCCCCAACATGGGCGTATTCTGTTCCAGTCATCCTGTAAGGCTGGTCTCCAGACAGGAAGCAAAGATGGGGGGGGGGGGAGCGGAGGGGCGGGCTCTATCTGGGCTCCCAGCAGCTGGGTAGGACCCTGATCAGGGACATGCACAACGCCTTCACGGAGGCCACCTGGAGGCTAGGTGAGGAGCCCCGCAGAGGACTCCAGGGAGAGCCACATCCAGTCGGCCTCTCAGGTGCCTGAGCTGCACGTCCTCCCCACCCCCCCTTCTTTCTCCACTCCTCCTCCACACAGTCTGTTTCTGTTGCTGTTTAGGGAAAAGCCTGCTCTGTGCCTGGAACACCAACATGTTGGTCAGGACAGGAGCCTGAGGGAGGGGTGGCAGCCCAACTCAAGTACAGAGCATGCATGAGACATCCCAACCCCCAGCCCAGGCTCAGAAGGACTGGGATCGGGCAGGGAGGGCACCCAAACTTAACAGCTCACAAATTAACAAGCATCTCAGAATTTCTCCTGTTAATCTGCCTTACATCCATTTCATTCTTATACCCAGCTGAAACCCAAAAAGGGGAAAGGAGAATTTTTCCTCCCCTACAATGGAAGGATGGATGGATAGATAGACAGACAGATAGATAGATGTTAGATAGAGGATGCAGAGAAAGAAAGAAAGAAAGAAAGAAAAAAAGAAAGAAAGAAAGAAAGAAAGAAAGAAAGGAAGGAAGGAAGGAAGAAAGAAAAAGGGAGGAAACATTTATTTATTATATTTCTAAAATGTGGACAAGGGGCAAAGAAAGGTCAGAAAACATAAGTGAATGAGAACCCAGAATGCAACTTACTTGCTTGAGCTCATCGTGCTCCAGGCGAAGTTTAGAGGCAAAGTTCAGTGGTCCCAGTTTCCCTCTGTCCAGATACCTGTGATGGGTGTATCATAGCCATTTCACCCAACACCGACCAGGAGATCAGACAGCCTGGAATAGAACCCCGAGAAGCAAAAAGTGCCCATTATTGCCCCCCACATCACATAAAAAATGGAAGAAAAGAAAGTTGTCCTGAGGGGCGTGGGGAAAAGGCTGGTTCTCGAGATGTCACCTTGAGCTCCCCACCCGCAGCCATGTGGCTCCCTCCGTCTGGCTCCTGTGTCCCTCACTTGGCCCATACACCGGGTGAAGGGTGGGATATTTTGCCTCCTTCCTAGGGTGTGTCAAGCAGCTCAACCACTATTCCAAAGAATGTGATTGTTTGGGGGTCACGACCCCATCCAGGACTCACCACTGTCAATGAATAACAGCCCAGGGCTCCCTGAAACGTGACAGCCAAATCGATTCTGTGGGAGCAGGCGATGAGATGGAGCCCGCTGGGACGTGGGAGTCTAATCCTCTGTGAAAGCCTCGCTGGGAGCCCAGCCACATCCAATGTGCGTATTTTTCTATGCTTAAAGCTGATTATCCACCATGACCTGGGAACAAAGAAAAATTATTTGTAATTATTCTAGACTGAAAAGTAGTGGCTTCTGGACGTTTTTTGATTCCCCTCCTACAACTCCCATTAATGGATATGAAGAGGGAATAACACCACATTGATTTAGAATAATGCAATAGATCAGAGCGTGATTCGCGTCTTAGGAGGCAGGCAAGAAGGATCTACCTTTAAAGAACTCCAATTAAAGTAATTACCATTGTTACAAAAATTAGTGTTTTTAAAAGACTGAAGTCTTCTATTGGAGAACACTTCAGACAGCTGGGGGGAACCTCACATGACCGGCAAGATGAAGGAGAACAAAAGCCAATCATTGTTTAGACGGAGCTGCTTAATCCTCCCGTGGCGGGAAGTCATCATTCCTGAAAGCTCGTCAGACGTTCAGTTTCCAAAGAGCTGTCAGCGTGTTCCAGGGGGACAGGGGGACCGCCACGTGAGCGCTGCTGCTCGTGGAGGGCGACGGCTGTCACCTGCTTCTCCTTCTGAACTTATGGCCGGCAAGGTGGCATCCTGCGGCTCCTCATGGTGCACCAAGGAGAGGACGGACCACGGCGGGGGGCCGGGTTGGAGACTTCACACTCAGCCCAGAAAATTACAGAAGAAATAGTAGCAGGCAGGGCCAGCAGCCCTGCGGGGGTGGGAGCACGGAAGGTGGTCCCAAGTCTGTCTGCATAGCCTGTGTGCTCTCGGCTGGATGCTGCAAAGACCTGATTGTGGGTTGATGTTGGTGGAGATGCTTTCAAATTAAGAGGGGACGAACTGTTAGTAAATTTTTTTTCAGTATGCTGCAGATGGATATATTTTGTAAAGCACCCTAAAAATGAATTACTAAAAACATTAACTTTATAAAGAATTATGAAATATTAGAAGCCCAGAGCGTGAAATTGTGCGGCCCTGCCCATCCGCGCCGGTCTTTGGTCATTACAGCGTTAGGGCCACTGGGTTTTTATAATATAGATAAGCCCCATGACTTTTCTAGTAGGCTCAACAGGCAATAAAAATTACTCTGCCCAGTAAGTTTAACTGTTCGGCTATAATTAGCTATAAACGTTACTAAAAGCTTACTCTCTGCTTCTGTACTTGCATCTTTGCAGACCACCAGTCCACATTTTAAGCATCTCTGGTCGATAACAGCATATCCCAAAGTTGTCACCAGAATGACTAAGTTACCAAAGTGCTCACAAAAAAATGGTTCTGATGGTCAAACAAGGTTTGGAAAAAGCTACAGATCCTTCTGAACATTCACATGCATGTTAAAGCCTATGAGACATTCTGTATTGAAAACAAAGCAAAAAATGACTCACTTTTATTGAACTCAGTTTTCCAAATTTATTTGCATTCTCTCTCTCTCTCCTTTTCAATTGTATTTGTTTTCTTATTAATTTGTTTTTGCAACATTTGCCCAACTACATTCCACCAACAGATGGTAAGAAATGCTTGCCCAGGGTCTGCCCCCAGGACTCGGCATCACGGGGGAGAAGTCGGTCAGTAGTGCTGGGCCCGAGTGGACGGTCCCCCGCATCAGCAAGCCTCTGCCAGCCTGAGTTGCCCTGCGATGGTGATGCTGGACCCACCTGCAGACCTTGCCAAACGACCCAAGGAATTGCTTCCAGGGACACTCAGGTGCCTCTTTACTTGTTTAGCTGCAGCAGCTAAGAATCCAGCTGTCAGTACTGCTGCACTTTGGCAATGCCCTGCATGCTGGGACACGGCAGCCTTTCGCAGACGCCTGTGCATGGAATAAACTCAATCAACTGGAAGGAGACTCCGAGCTACACTGGGAGCTCCAGGCACCAGCTGGGGTGACGCCATTTACCCTGTCCTGGGCTCACTCGTGTGAGACACAGAACGCGTTTTCCTAATTAGTTGGCATCAGGCACACATCCCGTGGTGCAATCCATGTCCTTACGGGAGGCCCTGGAATACTGCTGGGAAGGCCATTAGCGTCACCAAGCCTCCCGATTCCCCTCCAACAAAACAATTCCAGTTTCTGCACACAGAGTCCCACGTGCTGTTCACATTGGGGCAGTGGAAGGAGGGGTCTGGTTGTATCAGAACTCGACTCGCCATTGGTCCTAACAGTCTTGGAGGCAACTGGCTACTCCAGTCAGTCAAGGATACAACTGTCTTTCAAATATTTAGGGTTTCCTGCTCTTGTATCACACATCAAAGGCACGCCAAAGTCCAGGCCATGTTCTTGTCCACTCCCCAGTCTCCTCACTGGCCCTTGACTTACTAATTCTATTTTGTATCCCCGTGGGATTAGCACTTTGCAGTCGGCCTGATAGACGCCATCCTGAGTGGCAGGAAAAATGATCCAGGCCTGGGGGTTTTCCTGGTGACCACAGAAAATATTTAGTCAGAAAATGTAGCCACTTGTCCGCATGTTACACCAAGTCCGACAGGAACTGCCAGCCACTGCAGGCACCCAAAGGCTGGTGTAGCTAGGAGGCCCCCAGACTGTGTCACAGCTTCTTGGACACGCCTCCCAGGGAAGGGCGGGGTCCAGTTTCCCTCCCTATGACTAAGGGCCAGCCATGGGCCCTGATTCAAGCGGCAGAAGAGATGGCTGCCCGTCTCAGAGGCGAGGCCAGACAGGAGTGTGGTTCCGTCCCGGTTGTCTCTCTGAAACACACGGCTTTGGAACCTGAGCTGCCACCTAGGAAGTTTCGCTCCCGAAGTCATCGTGCTGGGAAGACCATGAGTGAGGCCACAGAGAGAGAAATGCCTGAGGGTGAGAAGCCCTTCCTATTCCAGCCCAAGAACCAGGTCTGGGCATGGAGAAACCTTTGCAACATCCTCAGGCTGCTCCTGTCTTGTGAGAGGCAATGAATGCTTGTGGTCAGCCACTAATTTGAGTGATTTGTTACCCAGCAGTAGATGACTATTACATTTCTTAAATGGGGTACGACTGGAGCCCTTTCTACTTCTGGACTTCCCAGCACACCCCATTGGCCTCTTTCAGACTCCCAGCTAGTACGGCTCACATACAAAGCACAGCTGGTCTCACAGAGTAGCCCGACCCCTCACACCTGGCTTCTGGCTGCTCATCTCCTCAGTGCTGACTCCTGTCCTCTATTGTAGATGCTTCTAGTTCAGAAGCCCGCTTGGTCACTTGGTTGCTAACCATGGGCACTCCATTCTCTTGATTTATTCAGGGCAGATCTCCCATGCACCTACCATGAGAGATCTGGTGGGTGGATGTTCCTCACCCTTGGGCGCACCCTGAGGCCGCATTCCTTGGCTTCTCCCTCATAGGAAGAGGCACTGTTGGACCCAGACTTGTGGCCGTCCCCTACAGGTTCCGCATGCTCACTCACTCACTCACTCACTCACTCATGTATTTATGAAGCATCCGTGGAGCTCTGGGAGCAGAACAAAGCTGATAATCGCTCACTCTCTGTAGAAGCAGGGAGAGCACTCCTGTCTCCATTAACAGTGGAATGAGCCAACACCAGCCAGGGCATTGTGCAGCTAGGACAGAAAGTTTAAACAGGAAAGATTTTTTTCTGCTGTTGTGAAGATGTGAATGGGCATAACTACTAATTTTCTTAGAGTGCTTTTGTGAGGATTAAATGACACAACACAGGTAAGATGCTTCCTCCAGTGCCTGACATATAGGAAGAGCTCAAGAAAGGTAAGCTATTCTTACTGCTATTACATATCATTGAGCTTAATATGCCCAAGACTGAGCTCTTCACATTCCCTCTGCCCCTCCCACATCTTCTCCATATATGTTATCCTTTGAGTTACTCAGAAAAACAAATAAAACAAGCAAACAAAAACCAATAAAACAACCTAAAGTCGTCCTGTCTCCTTTCCCTCTCTCTCATGTCACACCCAGCCCAGGGGCCGGGCTTTGTGGCCTCGCCTTTAAAACAGATGCAGGACTGGCACTCCCACCCCTCATGCTCTCTATGCACGCTCTCATTGCCGCCCCTCAGCACAGCCAAGGTGTGCTAGCCCCTCTGCTGCCGTCCACCCTCCACCCCACATCACCCTGACTGGCTTTTCAACCAGCTGCCAGGAGAATTGTGTTTAAAGAGAGGTGATAGCAACATTTTTGCTCAAAATCCTAATGACCTCAGGCTCTAACGATCTGGCCTGGAAGAGTCAGAGCAGAGCTGGAGGTCAAGTCTTTCTGGGATGCAGTTCTTAGGGAGGCCCTTTAGGTGGTCAGTGGCAGGTTTCCATTTGTTCCCTACCGCTGGCTTGCAGTGGGGTACACATGGGGTGTGCACATTTCCCTGACAGTTAAAAGTCATGTTAAGCTGGAGGGTGGGGGGATGGCAATAGGATATGAGTTTTAGCCCCGGCTCCGCTATTGACAACCCAGAGGAGACCGCTCCACAGCTGAGGAGCCTACCAGGAAATGAGTTGCTCTCTACCTGCTCGGCAGGCTCTGAGCACGGCCGGCTCCGCAGCCCCAGGCGTGTTTAGGACAAGAGCGTTTTCCATCAATGGTGGGAAAACAACCAGAGCATTCGTGGTGACGCCTGCTTCATGTACAATAGCTTTCTCCTTCTTGCTTCTCTTGTTTCACTCACTCATTCATTCAACAAACACTCAGTGAACATCCATCTAGGCTACAGAAGTAAACTGGCGATGGGTCTTACCTCCAAAGGGCCCTTATTTCCTCTGTGTCTCAGCCTCATTTTTCTTTCTCCCTGAGCTATACTAGTATACCTTAGGCCAGTGATGGCGAACCTATGACACGCGTGTCAGAGGTGACACAAGAACTCATTTTTTTGGTTGATTTTTCTTTGTTAAATGGCATTTAAATATATAAAATAAATATCAAAAATATAAGTCTCTGTTTTACTATGGTTGCAAATATCAAAAAAATTCTATATGTGACACGGCACCAGAATTAAGTTAGGGTTTTTCAAGATGCTGCCACGCCGAGCTCAAAAGGTTCACCATCACTGCCTTAGGCTCTTAGGATGAAGCTCAAGGCCTCAAAGGCAAGAAAGGTG